AGTGGTAGCCTAGGAAAAAATATGAAATACATGGCAAACAAAGCTTAATATTTCTACTATACTATGTGCTCCCATAAATCTTAAAAGCAAACCTTAGAATTGGGCAAATAGTATAAACAGGAAATTCACATAAGAGGAAATCCAAAAGTCCCGAAACACAAGAAAAAAACACTTAACCTCAGCAATCAGGGAGATACCAAATACAGTAATAATGAAGTATCATTTTGACCCATCAAACTGGCAAAACATAAAAAGAGCAATATCGTTGTGAATTGGAGAAGATGCTAGAAAACTGTTACTCCCATAAATTAATGGGATGTGGGTAATCTATTACTACAACCTTTTTGGAAAGTAATCTGGCAATATATATTAAAATATACTTCATTTTAATATATGAAATTTCCATTAGCTCTAGCAATCCTATTTAAAAAATATATTCCATAAAAATAAAAACATTAAAAATAACGTTCTGAGTTCAAGAGTGCTTACTATAGCAATGCTTATAATCGTAGAAATAAAAATAAAACAAAACTGAAAAGTATTCATTAGTAGTGGTATCTAGCAAATGGTAAAATAAATATTTTTAGAATATCTATAGAATATTTTCAGTTTCTAAACAAATTACATGATATCTTTATCTCTCAACCCAGATGAACCACGATGTATTTATTAAATGAAAAAAAGAGAGAAGTGAATCTGGTATGGTACGTTTTTACTTTATAAAATTTTACGAGTGTGTGTGTGTGTGGGGGGGTGTATCTGTGTATACTATCAACTTGTCTAAGCCAATTTAGTTATGCACCACTTTTAGGGTCATATTGGTAAATAATATTAACCTTAAAAGTTTTAGGTAGGTTTAGTTAGCGAGTCTCAGACTCAATCCCACTGCATGTATGGACATTCATAGCCAGCAAGCACACACAGTTCATTTCACATCACCAGTTATGGAAGCTCAATTAAGTCGAGCTCGATCCTTCAGTTGTTTTACTTAACATCCTGCATGACAGGTTCCCTTGAGCCCGATGTGATAATATGGCAGGAGCAGGATTCTGCTCCCTTTATGGTCTATATCAGGCCATCAGAAATCCTCCCAAACTGGACCAGGACCCTTTAGGATCAAGTCTTAGACACCATCTGTAAAGGAGCAGGGTATACAGACTTTGCTAGACTTTTAAACCTTATCCATGCATGGAAGTGGAGTGGCTCTTAAAAGAGTTGAGGTAAGTCATTGAATACCACCAATTTCACCAATGGAAACCCATTTTAAACATCTATCATGCAAACAAGCTACAAATTTCACCTGTGAAAAACCCATTTCTAACATCCACTATACTAATCAGCAAAATGTCTTTGCATTGTCAAAGATGAGGATTACTGATGCAGTTTATAGGAGCCACATCTGAATTAAAGCAACAGACTTTTCTTGGCTTGTGACTTAAACCAACTAATACACGTTAATGTCACATTGTCTGGTTTTAAGCATTTTAAAACAAATGAGCTACACAAAGCAGAACAACAGGAAGGAGGTAGAGTATTCTACACAAGAGCAATTCATATTGGTTTGGTAGAAATGGCATGAGGATTGGAGAGAGAATATTAACTTATTTTTATATAGACCTTTATATCATTTCATTTGGCCCAACACACTCATATCATTTTTGTGCTTAACAATCTTAACATTGTTTTTGAAAGAGGGGGTAACTTTTAAAAAGTAAAAGCAAGGAGGGGTGCCTGGGTAGTTCAGTCGGTTAAGTGTCTGACTTCGGCTCAGGTCATGATCTCATAGCTTGTGGGTTCGAGCCCTGTGTCAGGCACTGTGCTGACAGCTCAGAGCCTGGAGCCCGCTTTGGATTCTGTGTCTCCCTCTCTCTCTGCCCCTCCCCCACTCATGCTCTGTCTCTCTCTCTCTCTCTCTCTCTCTCTCTCTCTCTCTGTCTCAAAAATAAACTTAAAAAAATTTTTTTAAAGTAAAACCAAGGGTTGCCTTTGCACATGCTGTTCTTTCTATGTAGAACATCTCCCTCTTGTTTTATGTTAGCAGTGGTCTGTTCTTCCTCCAGTTCTCAGTTTGAACATTAAGTCCTTTGTGAAGGCTCCAGACAGTCACGTGCTTGTTCTCTATGCTCCTACGGCACCCTAAATATTTCCTCGCAGAAGAATCATAACAATTCCTATCTGTCTGTTTTTCCTGTTGTGTATGCATTTTGGAAGAGTAGGAACTTTGGCTTGAATAATGCTATGTCTCCTAACACCAAGTCCAGCAATAGTTAAATGCTTGATAAATACGTGCTGAACTCATGGATGAATGAATAAGTGAGTGAATGTTGAGATACAGCATTTGAGTTTTTTGTGGGATTTTTTGCCTTTACAATGCTTATGAAATAGGCTCAATAAGATTTAAACTTTCTTGCTCAGCCAGTTTCTTATCATCTTTTCATGCAAGAATATATGCGTCACCGGCCTAATTTTCAATACCGACATCTGTAATCCATAAGGAGGGAATAAAAATCTCCTCCTATAATAAGTTGTCAGGCATCATGGAGTAGTAGGTGAAATTATACTCCTCCAGACCTACTTTTTGAGTCCTGGGCTCACCATTTATTAAGTGTGGAATTTTTGAAGAGACTTTTAACAACTCCCTCTGAGTTTCAATTTCATCATCTGTAAAATGGAATAAAAATTGCTACTTCAAAGATTTATGGTAGGGATCAAATGAAATAATATATGTGAAAACACCTTGTTAACTATAAAGTTAGAGGTACATATTTTTTATTATAATGCAGGTAGGATGAAATAAGTCTCACATTTACTCCTGGAGCATTAAGGTTTTTCTATTGTTAGGACTAGGTGTGCTGCATTTAATTTTTTGGGCACCTCGGAAGAGAAGAATCATAGAATGATAAAATATTAGAGTCTGAAGAAATCACAAAATCCTAGGCCACTCTCCCATTCTGTAGTTAGGAAAACTAAGGGCAAGGGAAATGTTCTGACTTTACTCAGG